ACACACACGAGTTAACACACACACACACGAGTTAACACACACACACACGAGTTAACACACACACACACGAGTTAACACACACACACGAGTTAACACACACACACGAGTTAACACACTCACACACGAGTTAACACACACTCACGAGTTAACACACACACACGAGTTAACACACTCACACACGAGTTAACACACACTCACACGAGTTAACACACACACACACGAGTTAACACACTCACACACGAGTTAACACACTCACGCATGAGTTAACACACACACACGAGTTAACACACTCACACACGAGTTAACACACTCACACACGAGTTAACACACTCACACGAGTTAACACACACACGAGTTAACACGCACACACGAGTTAACACACTAACACACGAGTTAACACACACACTCACGAGTTAACACACACACACGAGTTAACACACTCACACACGAGTTAACACACACACGAGTTAACACACACACGAGTTAACACACTCACACACGAGTTAACACACACGAGTTAACACACACACACGAGTTAACACACACACACGAGTTAACACACACACGAGTTAACACACACACACGAGTTAACACACACACACGAGTTAACACACTCACACACGAGTTAACACACTCACACACGAGTTAACACACTCACACGAGTTAACACACACACTCATGAGTTAACACACACACACGAGTTAACACACACACACACACGAGTTAACACACACACACGAGTTAACACACACACACACGAGTTAACACACTCACACGAGTTAACACACTCACGCATGAGTTAACACACACACACACGCGTTAACACACACACTCACGAGTTAACACACTCACACGAGTTAACACACTCACGCATGAGTTAACACACACACACACGCGTTAACACACACACACGAGTAAACACACTCACACACGAGTTAACACACTCACACACCAGTTAACACACTCACACGAGTTAACACACACACACGAGTTAACACACTCACACACGAGTTAACACACACACACACGAGTTAACACACTCACACGAGTTAACACACTCACACGAGTTAACACACTCACACACGAGTTAACACACACACACACGAGTTAACACACTCACACGAGTTAACACACTCACACACGAGTTAACACACACACACGAGTTAACACACTCACACACGAGTTAACACACACTCACGAGTTAACACACTCACACACGAGTTAACACACACACACACGAGTTAACACACTCACACACGAGTTAACACACTCACACGAGTTAACACACACACGCGAGTTAACACACACACACGAGTTAACACACACACACGAGTTAACACACTCACACACGAGTTAACACACACACACACGAGTTAACACACACACACACGAGTTAACACACACACACACGAGTTAACACACACACACACGAGTTAACACACTCACACACGAGTTAACACACACACACGAGTTAACACACACACACACGAGTTAACACACACACGAGTTAACACACACACTCACGAGTTAACACACACACACGAGTTAACACACACACACACGAGTTAACACACTCACACACGAGTTAACACACTCACACACGAGTTAACACTCACACACGAGTTAACACACTCACACGAGTTAACACACACACACACGAGTTAACACACACACACGAGTTAACACACACGAGTTAACACACACACACACGAGTTAACACACTCACACACGAGTTAACACACACACACGATTTAACACACTCACACACGAGTTAACACACACACACGAGTTAACACACACGAGTTAACACACACACACACGAGTTAACACACTCACACACGAGTTAACACACACACACGAGTTAACACACTCACACACGAGTTAACACACACTCACGAGTTAACACACTCACACACGAGTTAACACACACACACACGAGTTAACACACTCACACACGAGTTAACACACTCACACGAGTTAACACACACACACGAGCTAACACACACACACGAGTTAACACACACACACGAGTTAACACACACACACACGAGTTAACACACTCACACACGAGTTAACACACACACACACGAGTTAACACACACACACACGAGTTAACACACACACACACGAGTTAACACACACACACACGAGTTAACACACTCACACACGAGTTAACACACACACACGAGTTAACACACACACACACGAGTTAACACACACACGAGTTAACACACACACTCACGAGTTAACACACACACACGAGTTAACACACACACACACGAGTTAACACACTCACACACGAGTTAACACACTCACACACGAGTTAACACTCACACACGAGTTAACACACTCACACGAGTTAACACACACACACACGAGTTAACACACACACACGAGTTAACACACACGAGTTAACACACACACACACGAGTTAACACACTCACACACGAGTTAACACACACACACGATTTAACACACTCACACACGAGTTAACACACACACACGAGTTAACACACACGAGTTAACACACACACACACGAGTTAACACACTCACACACAAGTTAACACACACACACACGAGTTAACACACACACACACACGAGTTAACACTCACACACGAGTTAACACACACCCACACGAGTTAACACACACACGAGTTAACACACTCACACACGTACACGAGCTAAATTCCTTAATTACGATGAGTTGTATGCACCAATAATTCGTGGTGAAATCACCGTTGCGCTGTACACATACACTAAAGGTCACTGGTGATGATGTTGATAATGATGATATCGACGATGATTCATTCTGTTTTAGGACATGCTTAGTCACGCATGTTGTATGTTATATACAAATTTGGCAGATAGCGTCCGACAGCTATGGAGTAGTAGTTAATGCTCAATTATTAAAAACAAAACTCAGCAAATTCGTCAATAACAATAATACTGTGGCCTTAAATAAAATATACATTCATAAGAAGCGACGTTTTGAGCACTGGTCCTTGTTAAAAACAAATATTAAAACTTGTTTTACGTATGTGCTACGAAGGACCGTTGCCCGAAACGTCGCCTCTATTATATATACGTTTTCCTTTTAAAGCCACAGCGTTATTGAAGACTTTTGTTGTTGTTGTTAACTGTACTTGTGCACCACTGCCAACGCAACAACAACATCATCATCATCAGCAACAGCAGCCTCTAACGATTCACGCTCGCGATTGTTACATCACTGCAGCGATTACCCCCCCTCCACTCCATCTCCATCAACTCTCACGTCCTCTCTGCAACAATTCATGACAATGCAACCACCGCCGTCCCTACTCAATCAGCTGTGAGTCACGGTCACGAGACGGATCCGGGCGAGAGATGTTTGTGTTTGTTTGTGATGGCGGAACCCGTGGAAAACGTGTACGCTGCTGCACGCGAGAATCAGAGTCGCGCACAGAACAACAACAAAAAATTGGGAGAAAAAAAAATCCAAAGCCAAAGATTCCCACACCCGTATAGCCTCAACAATCCTTTTGGGAAGGAGAGGAGGGCGGGGAGCCTCACCTATGAAAGCCGACACTGCACGTGACGGCTTTGCATGGCCAGAACCACGCCCGAACACCTTTGTCTCCCTCGCGGCCAGGTGCTCATTTGAGGCTGAGTCGACCTAGGAGATGCCCAGGCCCCCGGTTGTGAGATAATCGTCAGCGGTGTTGGCGGCCGTGAACGGTGAATCGAACTCGATCGCCAGGTTCGGAGCACAGATATTATCCACCTCCAAACTTTTAACGGATTGCTGGAGCAAGCGCTGTTAGCGAGCACCTATTAAGGTCGCGATGGCGCCCGGAGGGGTATTGTGGCTGCAGCCGCCTTTAGCACCCCGAAACCAGGTACTAATTTAAGGCTGAGTCGACTCGCAAACTGCTGAAGATAATTAATCACCACAGCGGTGCCCGTGAGCGGGAATCGAACTCGAGTCGCCGTGGTGCCTTGGTGTTCACGGCGCTCGCCAGCAACTTCCCACGCCACCACTCTTCACATTGTTGAGCGCACACACAGAAAGAACAAAGATCACCCGTGTAGCCTTATACAGACTGTTGGGGCAAGTGCTGTTGGCCAGCGCCTATGAATGCCGGCACAGTCGACGAAGGGGTGTGTGGCCAGCACCACGCCCGATCGCCTTTGTCTCCCCGGTGGCGATGTTTTTACGCACCGCACAAGGTACTCATTTGAGGCTGAGTCGACCTAGGGGAGGCCCAGGACCGGTTCGGATCATTGTCACTTGGTGTTGGCGGCCGTGAACGGGAATCGAACCCGCGTCGGTGGGTTCGTAGCGCAGCGCTAACCGCTACCCTTCCGCTCCCCACACACTCTAACACACGTACACACACACACAGACCACCACCACCCAGCCCTCAACACACGCGCGCTCATAAACGCACTCACGCAGTTGATCAAATAACTTTTATGCACCGAAGCCCGCATCGCAAGCACAGAAACGCACAGATCAAGTTTAATGCCCCCACCCCCCTCCACTCCACCCCCATGTTATGCACCCCAATGCGAACATCCATCAGACCCTCCCATCACGCTCAGTCACTCACCCAATGCAAGTCACACCCAGTCAGCCAATAAGCCATTCAAGCCACTCACCCAATCAGCCACTCTTGTCAGCCACCCACCCACCCGGCCAGGCAGACACCCAGTGCCCACCCCTCCTCTCATCCCGCCCACCAGATACGCATGCCGTCTCAGCTGTTCGTCGCGGTAGGGCAGCGATTGATCGATGCGCCGACTTTACAGGCAGCCGTTCAGCCACAGGGCCAAGCAATCAGCCCAGCCAGGCCAGGCCCAAGCGAGCCCGCTCGCACAGACACGGCTATTCCGCTAGCGCAAGCGACCACGCATCCAGACAAGCGGCTACCACCCGCAGAAAGTTTGCGCTCTGGGCGGTGATTACGGGAGCGCCGCTGTTGCTGTTACTGCCGCTGTTGCTGCTGTTACTGCTGCTGCTGCTGTGACTGCTGTTGCTGCTGCTGTTACTGCTGCTGCTGTGACTGCTGTTACTGCTGTTGCTGCTGCTGCTGTGACTGCTGCTGTTGCTGCTGCTGCTGTGACTGCTGCTGTTGCTGCTGTTACTGCTGCTGCTGTGACTGCTGCTGTTGCTGCTGCTGCTGTGACTGCTGCTGTTGCTGCTGCTGCTGCTGTGACTGCTGATGTTACTGCTGCTGCTGTGACTGCTGCTGTTGCTGCTGTGACTGCTGCTCGTCGCTCCCTCGGCTCCCCCGGTCGGCGGTGGAATTCTATCGCGCGGACACCGCGGAAGGAGCGCGTCGCTAGCGAACGCGCGCGTCCCACGGCGCTCGCGTTGGGAGGCCATCGAGAGAGTGCGTGGCGAGGTGGAGGGGGGGCGCTGGGCACCACCACGCTGATTGTACGGCGGCGAGACATCCCCCGCTGCTGCTGCGGCTGCTGCTGCGGCTGATATCGCGACGTAGCGAAGGGATTCCGGGGAAGCGGAGTGAGTCGCGAGAATTCAGCTCACGGCGCGTGTGTCTCGGCGCGTGTGACTGGCTCGCTGGCTGGGCGCAAGTCCGTAGCGAGCGCGTCTCTTCGCTGGGGCATTAGCACGTGCAGCGAGCTGGTGAGACAACACGCGCCACGACACGGCAAGTGTGTACTGTGTGTGTGTGTACTGCGTGTGTGTCTATAGCTCGACGACGAGAGGGTGCACGGTGTGTAGTGTGAGCAGATGTCGTGCGCGCGAGTGCTCTCTTCCGCGTGTGTGTCAGTGAGAGCGTGTGTGTGTGTGTGAAAGAGTTTGTGTGTGTGAGAGAGCGTGTGTGTGTGTGAGTGTGAAATAGTTTGTGTGTGTGTGAGAGAGAGAGAGCGTGCGTGTGTGTGTGTGAGTGTGAAATAGTTTGTGTGTGTGTGAGAGAGAGAGAGCGTGCGTGTGTGTGTGAAAGAGAGTGTGCGTGTGTGTGTGAGAGAGCGTGTGTGTGTGAGTGTGAAAGAGAGTGTGCGTGTGTATGAGAGCGTGTGTGTGTGAGTGTGAAAGAGTGTGTGTGAGTGTGTGAGAGAGCGTGCGTGAGTGTGTGAGTGAGAGTGTATGAGCGAGTGTGTGAGTGTGTGTGAGAGTGTGTATGAGAGAGCGTGCGTGTGTGAGAGAGCGTGAGTGTGTGAGTGAGTGAGTGAGAGTATATGAACGTGGTTGTGAGTGTGTGTGAGAGTGTGTGAGAGAGCGCGTGTGTGAGTGTGTGTGAGAGAGTGTGTGTGAGTGTGTGAGAGAGTGTGTGTGAATGAGAGAGAGAGCACGTGTGTGTGTGCGCGCGCGCGTGTGTGTGTGAGCGTGTGTGTGTGAGCGCGCGTGTGTGTGATAGTGTGTGTGTTAAGCTCGCGTCGCGACCGACTCTCACTCCACTCTCTGCACTCGCTCTCCCCCTCTCGCTCGCACGCCCGCACTTGTTCTAAAGCTCCCTGTGCGCTCGCTCACGTCGGTGGTAGCGAGCGAGTGGCTCTTTGCCGTGAACCTTAAACACACACCCCACCCACTCACCTACCCCAGCCACCTCGTACCCATCGCCTCGACAACAAACGCCGACCAACCATCTCGGAGTCAACTCGCTCCCTGCCCAGCGAATACAGCGCAGGTAAGAAGAGAGCTGAGGTCACCAACTTCTCTCCGTGCAACTTTGCAGATACATCTCTTCTACTGCGATGAAGAGGTCGCCGCCCGAAACGTCACCCATTTATACTTCGTTTTTTTTAATTGTTGGTGTTGTTGTTGTTGGGGTTAGCGATATTATTGACTTAATGCGCCGAGTAGTTTTTTTTTTGGGTCACAAGTGGCAGAGACGTCACAGATGTTACGCTCTGGTAACATCATCATGTACGCATGTTCAACTTATTTCGCACCGTACGTAGCCAACCGTGCTAACCGGAGGTTGAGAACGCGTAAGAGAGGACACACACACACAGTTGTGTAGGCTTCGGCTGCCGGGTGGCCAAGAGATGGCAGGACCGCAATTGATTCTTGAATCAATCTGTGCGCCGCTTTTTAGTGTTTATCCCCCTCCCCACCTCGTGTGCGTGATGATGGGTTTCCTCCCGGGGGGGGGGTGCTCAGGGTTGCCGCTGGCAATCATATACGACACGAGTTCAATGGAATATCACCAAAGGCAGGAACCTCCTGCGAATGTGTCTCGGGCATCAACTCGGGGATTATTAGCATTACAAAGATGTGTGTGATTTACTATGAGTGTTCGTGTGCTTTTGCGTGTGCTTCCCAAACAACTTGCAGACACTGCTTTTATTCATACATAACCTCTGTGTGTATGTGTGTTTAATGTATGCGGTGTTTGTATGTGTATGTCTTTATACGTGTGTGTGTGTGGTACACATACAGACTTACGGGTTCTGGGCATCCCGTATGTTCACTCAGCCTAAAATGTGTACCTGGTGCGGTGTGTGAAACATCGCCACTGGGGAGACAAAGGCGGTCGGCCGTACCGGCCTTCATATGTGCTCACGAACAGAACTTGTCCCAAAAGTCTGTTAAGGCTATGCGGGGGATCTTTGTCTTTTTGTATACTTACAAGCCATGTGTACTGGGCGAAGTTTCTGGTGGTGTAACGGGGCGGCTAAACGAGTGTGTGCGTGTATGTGCATGTGTGTATGTATGTGCGTGTGTGTGTATGTGTGTGCATGTGTGTGTGCGTGTGTGTGCGCGTTGTAAGGAGCGGTGGTGTAGCGGTTAGCGCGCTGCGCAACGAACCTGGCGACCTGAGTTCGATTCCCGCTCACAACCAACATCTGTGACGATTATCTGAATCGGCCCTGAGCCTCTCTTAAGTTCGACTCAGCCTCAAATGTGTACCTGGTTCGGTGCGTAAAAACATCGCCACTAGGGAGACAAAGGCGGCCGGCCGTGGTGCTGTCCACCCACCCTCTCGTGTCCCGTTCCGGCGTTCCGTAGGTGCTGCTCGCTAACAGCACTTGCCCCAACAGTCTGTGAAGACTATACGGGGGATGTTTGTCTTTGGTTTTTTTGGTTTGTGTTGGCAAAGTCTCACATAGAGTGAACCGTATTGTCCAGGTGAAAGCTCTTCATCTACACGAGGCCAGATGGTTTTATTTTCATCGGAACTCTGTTGATCACTGCATGATGATGACCATGACGCTGTAGCGGTGGGGTTAGAGTCGCGTCGGCGATGTAGTCTGTGATGAGTGACGCGTCGCTTAGTGGCCACCGCAGTAACTAAGAAGGGCCGTTGCCCGAAACGTCTCCCATTATATATTTCCGGACCCCCCCCCCCCCTTTTTGAAGAGCACAATGTTATTGACGAATGTGTTGAATATTATTCTTTTTTAAATGTTTGCTTTGTTAATGTTTGCTTGCGAAACCACCGCCAAAGCAGTCCAGCCACATGAATTAGTTTAGTAACGTGCTGGGGATAAAGTTTGTCCTGGGTGTGTGCATTTTCAAGAGTCTGATGCCCTGTGAGCAATCAGAGGGGGGGGGGGGGCAGGGGTTTCTCCACGTCGTGCGTGCACGGAGAATCCCATAACTCGTGGGCTATGGACTCGTGTTGGACTTGAGTCATTAGTCGTACGTGTGACACTACTCCCGGAGCAAAGCATATTCTCCCATATCTATTAATGCAGAGTGCTATGCATATGATGGTATGTTATATGTATATTATAGTACGATGCATGGAGTCTATAGAGTATAGGTACAACAGTATACTTCAGTGCAATGGATTAGCCTGTATATAGGAGAACCATAACACAGGGCGATCCATTTACAGATGCCCCATAAATTACGATGGTGACACATTTGACCTCGCCGTCGAGGTGATGACACTGTGATCTAAAAGCTGTCGAACGCGTCTCTCGCCAAACTTAGCTTTTGTTAATTAACCACTCTGCCCCCTCTCTCTCTGTACTATACGGGAGGCGTCGCTTGCTCGCCGCGGTGCCGTACTCGATGAACTGTAGCGAGGAAGAGAGTTCGACATTAGTGGGGTATCTCGAAATGGATCGCCCTGAAAAATAAAGTTTGCCGAGGAATATGGTCCAGGGCATTGGTGTCGTATCGCGCAGCCAGCGATGATTTTTATATATATATATACACAGTAAGTAGCCTTCACGTGCACAGTATGGATATACTGGCGCACGTCATGAGAATGTGGAGTGTCCACCACTCGCGTTTGTAGAGCGAGACGGCCGAGTTGATGTGTGACACGTGTGTAGAGATATGGTGACATTCACGTTCACATACAGGGCTTGCGTTAAAGGTAGGGTTCTGCCCAGACAAAGGCCGACTTTATCCACTGTCGTCATTAACAACACGACTGCCATATAATAAACATATATATATAAGCTGGCGTTTATGGAAACATTACTTATTCGAAGTACGTATAACAGAGGCAGCACTGTGCGTTGATAATAAAGCGTGCGTAGCGTCGCTAGTGGCACAACAACTGTTCACGTTTCTGCTATGAATGTAACAACACGTCGTATGAAGTTTCTACCATAATCCACTGCTGTAAACCACGGGGTCAAGTGCTGTTAGCGAGCTCCTATGAGAGCCGTGGTGCTGGGCGGCCAGCACCACGCCCGACCGCCTTTGTCTCCCCAGTGGCGACGTTTACTACACACCGCGATCACCAGGTTCTCATCCGAGGCTGAGTCGACCTCGGGGGGGGAGGCCCAGGACCGGTGCAGATAATCGTCACCGGTGTTGGCCGTGAGCGGGAATCGAACTCGGGTCGCCGGGTTCGTAGCGACGCAGCGCTGACCGCTACGCTGCCGTGGCGACGCAGTTCGTCATTTTAGGCTGAGTAAACTTTAGTGGGGGGTGGGTGGGGGGAGTCTTGAGACTCGTCGTGATGTCGTCGTAGTTGTCGCGTATGGCCAGGAATGTGACTCAGGTAGCCCGGCTTGTGTCGTAACGAACCTCCGATTGCATCGCCGTCAAGCTGTAAGGTTCAGCCCGTATTCTTGTGCAGGGGAATTGAGTTTTCACGTCCATACGGCGTACAGCCGTTGCAATGCGGGCAACAACAAAAACTGTGTTGTCTATTTGTTTGTGTTTCTCTCCCTTGTGACGGGACTTTGAAGAATGAACATTGGAATTGATAACAGCACGGGGTGACCAATGAGGTCAGAATTGGTCTCTAATAACGTCGGCACTGATAATGGGTTGACAAGTATGCGATGATCACGGTTGGCTACGTACGGTGCGAAAGAAGTTCAACAAGCATGCATACGTAACGCAAGCGACGAGCGACACATCATCCACACGAACAAATCTATGCGCGTTGCGATGCAACATGCGGTGTGACCGGAGCGGGTGGGGCAGGAGTTCACGCACTACCCTAATGAGCTCGGCTACGTGAGTTCAATTCCGGGCCACGGCTATAACATCGGTGACGAGTTCTATCTCAACCTGCCCCCCCACCTACACACACAAAAAGTATGGTCGACTACCACCCCCACGACCCAAACGGCACGGAGGGGAGGATGCCTCGTAAGCCAACAGTGTGTATTGATACAGGTCTGTCTGCACATCCTCACATGCCATACAAAGACAGCGTAGACCAGAGGGTTCGTTGCGACATCCCTCCCTCCCCCTCTCTCTCCCTCTCTCTCTGTGCGAGCGGCATTGAGTTCATGGCAGTGCCGACACAAGAGATGAGAGAGGAGAGAGAGGTGGGGGTGCTGTTGGTGGTGGTGGGGTGCGTTCTGCATTAGTAACAGCTGTGTATTCTCATAGCCGCCCCGTAGTAACGACTTCGCAACTTTTACCGCTCTTTCAACAACAACAGCAACAGCAGCAGCAGCAAGAACTACGACGACAACAACGTGTGCGTGTGTGCGTGTATCTAACGGTGAGCACTCAGAGCCCATGCCGGCTGCACAGACATCATCACTCGAGTCGAGCACTTCGCATTGCGTGGAGCGAATATGAACGACACGCACGGACGGCCACACAAGCGGGAGTTGGTGGGTGGGTGGTGGTGCGTGGTGGTGGTGGTTGGTGGTGTGTGATGGTGGTGCCGATGGTCGTTGTCGTGGTGGTGGTTATGGTGGTAGTACAGGGGGTGGGTGTCAGATAAATAGAAGCCCCTTTGAACACGGCTCATGTTGAGTCTTTGTGTCTCGCGACATTTATGAGCCAGTTGCTGCTACCGCTGCTGTAGCGACTGCTGTTGCTGCTGCTGTTTTAGTTGATGCTGCTGTTGTTGTTGTAGCTACTTGTGTTACTGCTGCTGCTGCTGCTGCAGCGACTGCTGTTGCTGCTGCTGTTTTAGTTGCTGCTGCTGTTTTAGTTGCTGCTGCTGTTGTTGTAGCTACTTGTGTTACTGCTGCTGTAGCGACTGCTGTTGCTGCTGCTGTTTTAGTTGCTGCTGCTGTTGTTGTAGCTACTTGTGTTACTGCTGCTGTAGCGACTGCTGTTGCTGCTGCTGTTTTAGTTGCTGCTGCTGTTGTTGTTGTAGCTACTTGTGCTGCTGCTGTAGCGACTGCTGTTGCTGCTGCTGTTTTAGTTGCTGCTGCTGTTGTTGTAGCTACTTGTGTTACTGCTACTGCTGTAGCGACTGCTGTTGCTGCTGCTGTTTTAGTTGCTGCTGCTGTTGTTGTTGTAGCT